TTTTTTTTTTCTTTCTCAAATAGATAATAATTCAGCAAAAATAAATCATGACTTATCAAGAGTTTTTGTTTGTTTTTTAAGAGATCTTGTTAAATCACTAGCTGGATTCATTTGCATGCTAGATTTTCTTTGATCACACATTCCCAACTGTATGTCTCCTGAAAAGTTACTGTTTTTAAAGAGAGAATTTTAGGAAATTTTATTATGATTTGTGCAATTTCTGATTTACATAGTTTACCATTACATTATGTTTTAATTAACCCACCATCACTAGCACATTGGAGTTGTATTTTTAGTGCACTAATTGGAAAAAAAGTTGTCATTTTCCCCACTTGGTCACACAGTTATAAATTCATCGTCTCCTTCATGAGATTAAGGCGTGTCCAATTAAGACAATGATTTTAATCTGTGAATTCATGAGGCATTTCCTAAGCTTTTCTTGGTTTCTACTAAATTGTATAATAAACTAGATGTGAAGGCAAGCCACATCATGAGGAAAAATAATTACTGCCTTGTCTTGGGAATGGAAGCAGATTCCTATAGACGCTCCCTAGGGATATGGGGAGGGCCTGCTGGGAGTCCTTGGCCTCCAGAGTCTGGCCTCCAGAGAAGTGCTCTGGAGGTTAATAGGGTGGCAACAGTGATAGGAAGGTCTTGGTGAGAAAAGGGAACTGTCAAAATTTCATCTTTGTAGTAAATAATTTTCTTTGAAAGTATTTCATTCTATCTTTAAATGTTGGCAACTTCTGATGTTAATTCCTCTCTAAACAAAATCTACAATTAAGCTTTTAAACTAGAAATGCTTGTGTAAATTAAGCATTTACACTATGTAAGAAGGTATTTTATTCAAACTGGAAAAATAAATACTGGTTTTAACTTTCCAGGATTAGTTTGAACTCCATCTATTAATCTACACATCCACTCATCTATCTCTCTAGTTATCTATTATCTATCTATAATCTATATCATCTATCTATCTATCATCTATCTATCTATCTATCTATCTATCCCTATCTACCTATTATCTATCTATCTATCTATATATAATCTCTATCTATCTATCTATCTATCTATCTATCTATCTATCTATCTATCTATCATCTATCTATCTATTTATCTATCTATCTCTATGTACCATCATACTGTATATAATCGATATCTATCTATATCTATGTATATATAATCTATCTGTATAATCTATGTGTATATATATGTATATATAGTTGCTATTTCCCCTGAGTATTCTGTTATTCTCCCCATTAGTATGTAAGTTGAAAATAACATATTTCTTCTTTAAATATTCAGGAGTCATTATAGTTTGTGATAGGAATTATTTATCTGTTCTTCAAACTTCAAGTTACTAATTTACTTTTTAAAATATATATATATATATATATTAAAGGTCATGTTAACCCACTTGTTCAGCTGCATGTACTCAAACAAATGTTCAAAATTTATTTCCAGTGTTTCCTCTCATGATCCTTAAACTACTCCTACAGAGAGATACTGCCTTTTAAGAATAGTTTTGTGGGAAAAAAATAATTTTGCTTGGCCATTCTAGGTTTGACTATTATCATAAATATTGCTATGAAGAAATTAATATAGGCTGATGCTTTATAAGCATAGTGGACAGATTTATCCCTCCATTCAGAGATGATAGTTTCTGCTATCCTATTGCTGATTTGAAATGAAATGTTTGGAGATATAGATAGACAAAATTGAGCTACATAAAGGTGCTATGTGTCACTGTGCTGGCCAGGGTAGCTAATGTAATTTGTCTGACACAGAGCTTATGAAACATCCCATCTGCCACCATACGCCTCTAAGACTGAAGGTGTTGGCATATTAAAGATGCAAGCACCTCACACATGACTATTTACCCATTTATTATTTCAGCAGGAAGGAAGACAACCTTTAGAAAACAGAGAAGAGATTAGCAAGTTCAGACATTTGATTTAGATATTCATTTGAGGACTACTACCTCACAGTACATCAAGATATTTTAATAGGAAGTAGAATTTGGTCTTGAAGCTAAAAGCAAATAAATCTCAGAGACGATTTTTTCTTTCTTTCTGCTCATGAAAATTATACCTTTACTGCTTGGCTGATTTTCATCTTGAGAGAAAGGAATTGTTAAAACCAAAATTGTGATGTCACAACAAAATATGTTAACAGAGCAAATTTTCATGCAGAGTCTGAGAAAGAAAAATACTCTTCTATATAACCAGCTCTCATTAGAAACAAACAAAAAAAATTACTAAATGATTGTTGATTAAATTTTATGGATCTTTAAACAAATGGCAGTGAATGCTATCTCACAATACATTCCCACAATTCAACTTGCCACGTTTTTTTAAATGACAAGTTCCAGGGAAATAAAATATAGGATTGAAAGGAGGAAATGCCATCATTCCATTGAAGGAGAAGCCAGTTAAATGTGCTATTTCACATCCTGGGAATCATGAACTTGTTGCAATTGAAAGGACATTTACCTTCTCAATGGGATTAATTCTGCAATTATCATCACTTGAGGAGACACTATGTAAGAGATACCTGGCCTGGCACCTCACATGCATTATTTTATTTAATCCTTAAAACGAATCTTATGAGGATGCAATTATTACCCCATTTTGCGTGTTAAAAAACTGAGGTTAAAAAACAATCACTCAAGCTTGGATTTCATCCCCAGGGAGGTCTGACTCCAAATCCTATGTTCCTTCTATTGAGATCCTCTGAGGCGGAATACTGCAGGAAGGAGTCACATTGGGGGAGTGTTTTCATAACATATAATTAAAAATAACTTTGGACTCCCCCAAAACTTACCATTGTTGATCAACACATATTTTATATGTTATATGTATTATAAACTGTATTATTAAAGTAAGCTAGAGGAAATAAAATGTTATTAAGAAGGGCATAAGGGAAAATAGTTATAGAGCATTATACATATTTACTGAGAAAAATCTACATATAAGTGGACCTGTACAGTTCAACTTGCTGATACAAAGACGTCATAAGCAAAAAGGTAGCATTATAACTGTACTCATATCTTTAGGATATGAATACCATTCAGAACTTGAATCGGAATCAAAGCACACAGATTCATGCATAATAATTACATTACTTCCTAGTATGCCTATGAAATTTATATGACCACCTGCCTTTGCAGAAAATCAAGTTATCTTGTAATCTGGGGCTTTCTTCATACATCTATTGTTGAAACAATTTGCTTCAATTAAGGCAGGGACTGTAACTTATTTATATGTTTATCTTCAGCAAGTAACATCCTGCCTGGTACAGAAAAAGCACTCAAAAATTAATTTTTATACTGAACTAAAAACAGGAAATAAGCCAGTCAGAGAAAGATAAATATCACATGATCTCAATCATTTGTGGAATATAATGAGCAACATAAACCGATGAACGAAAAAGAGATCCAGAGACAGAGAAGCATCGATCAGACTGTCAAACCTTAGAGGGAAGGCAGGGGAGGGGAGGGTAAGGGGGAGAGATCAACCAAAGGACTTGTATGCATGCATATAAGCCTAACCAATGGACATAGACACCAGGGGTGTGAGGGCATGAGTGGCGGTGGAGGGTAATGGGGGGATAAGGACACATATGTGATACCTTAATCAATAAAGAAGAAAATATATATATAAAAAGTGAGCTGGAGATTAAACAACAGAAGGAGTAAAGATTCTTCAGTGACTTTAAAAAAACAAAACAAACAAACAAACAAACAGGAAAACAGGCTGTAGAAATTGAGATTCTCTGACTCAAAGAAGAAAAATGTGACATTAAAATATATGATTTTTTTCTATAACATGTGTATTCTGCTTGAAATGCAAAATATTTCAAACAATAGTTTTTTAAAGTCCCAGTAAATGTTTATAAATTTTACCTGGAAGTCTTATGTATCTTTAATCTTACTAGTAATATTTGACAACATTAACTTGTATAGAAGATCTTCGATGACAAAAATTGTTTACGTTTAGTTGAACAAGAGATAATACTAAACGCATGGGAAAATAAGCCACCTGTGGGAGAGTTAGCCAAAACAATAAACTAATGAATCAGAAAAGTAAGTGCTGCAGATATTGGAATTATCAGAAGCAGAATATAAAATATTTATTTTCATATATTAAAACACAAAGACAAAAGTAATAAAGAAACAAGGGCTCCTGTGCCAGAAAATAAATAGGAAAAAAGCCAAAAAATAAAAGAAGAAAGAAAGGATTAATAAAACGAATATATGCAATGTTAAAAATTTTAAATCTTCCCCTTTAAAAAAATGGGCCAAAGATGCCAATACCCAGCATAACTATTTATAACCAACATTTTACTGGAGGTATTAGCCTGATCAATAAGAAAGGAAAAATAAATAGCCCTAGCTGGTTTGGCTCAGTGGATAGAGCATCGGCATGCAGACCCAATGGTCCCAGGTTCGATTCTGGTCAAGGGCACATGTCCAGGTTGCAGGCTTGATCCCTACTAGGGGGTGTGCAGGAGGAAGTCAATCAATGATTCTCTCTCATCGTTGATGTTTCTATATCTCTCTCCCTCTCCCTTCATCTCTGGAATCAATGAAAATATATGTAAAAAATAAGTAAGTAAGTAAGTAAATAAATAAATAAATAAACACAGAAAGGAAGCAAACCTGTCATTATTTTTGAATGATGTGTTGTCAATATAGAAAGCACAAATGAATATTCAGGTAAAATACTTAAATCAAGACTAGAAGTTAGCAAGTTTGTAAGTCCTGTATATTAAATACAAAATCAATATAAAAATCAATTGTGTAGCTGCCTATTACAAGAAAAACAGGAAATAAAACTCAAAAATGCTTTCTACAATAGCAAAAATCAAAGATTGTAGAATTGAATACAACAAAGGATATTCAAAACCTAGGGGTAAAATTTATGTGATGTTATGAGACATTTAAAAAGTACTGATTGAAGTAGTAAAATTGTCAATTTTCCTCAAATAGTTCTATAGATTTGATGAAGTTGCAAAGCAAGCTCTCACTGGTGTATTTCAAAGAACCTAACAAGCTGATTCTAAAAGATTTATGGAATAGCAAAGAGCTCAGAGAAGCCAAGATACTGCTAAAGAAGAATGCCAGGTAAGATTTTTAATACTAGTAACAGTAGTGTGATATGCACAGAATACATCAAAGTTATAGAACAGACCAAACATAAAAACCCATTTTATGATGTGGCTAGTAATGCAGATCAATAGGAAAATGTTAAAATGTTCAAAAAATAGTGTTGGAACATTTTGTTATTTATATGGGAGAAAACAATTGAAATATATTCCTAATACCAGTATATACAAAAATTAATTTAAGCTTAATAAAAACACATTAAAAATAATTTTTAACTTTTACAAGAAAATATAAAATATAGAATAATTTTTTAAAATATATTTGTATTGATTTTTTTACAGAGAGGAAGGGAGAGGGATAGAGTGTTAGAAACATGGATGAGAGAGAAACATTGATCAGCTGCCTCCTGCACGCCCCCTACTGGGGATTGAGCCTGCATTCAAGGTACATGCCCTCGACCTGAATTGACCCTGGGACCTTTCAGTCCACAGCCTGACATTCTATCCACTGAGACAAACCAGTCAGTGCTAGAATAATTTTTGTTCAACTCAACTCTCAAAATTAAAATTATAGAATTTTCTAAACACACACACACACACACACACAGAGAGAGAGAGAGAGAGAGAGAGAGAGAGAGAGAGAGAGAGAGAGAGAGAGAGAGAGAACACAGGGGGGAAACTTGAGAAACTTGACTATAATAAAATTTAGAATGCTCATTTAAAGTGCGGTATTTAAAGACTACTAAGAAAAGCTTTTTAATGGGAAAATATATTTGCAACACATTTAATTGACAAAAATTCAAGAATTTAGAAATGATGACTACAAATCATAAAGGAGATACAGTAATTCACTTTTTGAAATAAGCATAAGACTTCAACAAGTTCTTCACACAAGAAGAAATATAAATTACCATTAAATATATGAAAAGTTGTGAAATCTCATTAATAAGCAGAAAAATCCACAATAAATTACCATGTCACAGATAAAAGAGTATCAAAAACAACAAAACTCTGACACTCTCTAGTCCAGCATTTGTCAAACAGAAGCAAATCCACAGGCACCGGGAGATATGTATAAAACATTTGAAACATCACTGTTTTTCACAGGAGAGAAAAACACACACACAACAATAACTAGAAATCTCCTAAATCTCCTTCATGAGTAAACTGGATATACTAGTATAAAGCATGTAATAGTCACAAAAGAGAATACCATATGGCCATGGAAATCAATCTTAGCTACTTTATCTACAAAAATTTGAGTTTTAAAAAAGCAATCATTATCGAGCAGTGATGGCGAACCTTTTGAGCTCGGCGTGTCAGCATTTTGAAAAACCCTAACTTAACTCTGGTGCCGTGTCACATAGAGAAATTTTTTGATATTTGCAACCATAGTAAAACAAAGACTTATATTTTTGATATTTATTTTATATATTTAAATGCCATTTAACAAAGAAAAATCAACCAAAAAAATGAGTTTGTATGTCACCTTTGACACAGTCATAGGTTCGCCATCACTGTTATAGAGCATGAATCCATGATTCTATTTATAGAGTTTTAAAGATGCAACTAAGCAATTGTGTGTGTGTTTGTGTGTTGAGATATATATGTAGAAAACTATTCAAAGTTATTAACACAACAGTCAGAAAATTGGTCACTTTTGATGGGGGTGGCTGGAGAAGACAAGGTTGGGAGGATCACTCAGATTTTCAATGGTATTGATAATGGTCTAATCTCTAATGTATAAAGGATACATTGATGTTTATTTTTATTATTCTTTATAGTAGATACATGCATTACATGCACTCTTTTGTAAGGCATAGTGCACAATTTTAAAATGTCTTTTCTAAAAATGTACAATAGTAGGATGATATTTGGATTTTAAAAATCACTTGGGAAGTATTAAAGTTTTCTAGGAAAGAAAGGATGGTGTCTTGTCCTAGTGGAGACAGAAAAGAATGCATGGGTAGGGAGATATGTATAGTGTATTTTTAAAAACGACAGTATATGTTTGTTGCTTTAATATTGTGATTGAATGAGACTAATTTTCTAGAATGATTCCCAGTTTATGACCTTGTTCAACTTTATGGGTGTTGGAGCCATTTGAAAAAAAAAATACTGAAGTTAGTATAGGGAAATATTTTTCAAACTCATGTAGTTCAGATAGTTTGGACTAACTATACATTTAGCTCTGTGAATATTTGCTAAAAAAACAAGATTACAGTTTTTAAGCAGATATGATGTTACTCATCTACAGTTAGAATTGCCAATCCTAAAAAATTTAATAGTTTGGCCTTTTGAATGGAGTCCATAGTGTATAGCTGTTTGCATGTGTGTTCAAACAAGCATATGCAAATACAGTTTTATATTTGAAGATTGTGTCCATTACCAATTTATTTCTTCTGAACTTCAAATCCATTTTTCTTCGCTCTGCTTTGTGATACTGTGGCTGGGCCCTGGAAACACTTCTTTGCATCTGAAGCCATGTTAAGACACTGGAGAGACACAACCAAGGAAGTGACTTATTTTCCAGGTTCCAGGTGCTTTGCTCTTCCTGCTCCTGCAGCATCTGGCTGATGTGCAGGACAATCAGGGACACTCACCTGCAGATGAATCGCAGTGGTTCACCAGAGGGTGGTTTCTCAGAAAATTATAGCTGCGCCCTTAAACGCAGCTTTTCAATGGCTTTCACCAGCACCTCCCTGGCAGTTTCCTGCCTCCCGGCCCCATCCTGCAGCACCTTGGCAAATTTCTCGACCATTTGTCACCTTTTTTTTCCCAATGAAGTCTGAGTTTCAACCTTGGTTGGGGTTGGGGAACAGCTTCCAAATGTGTTCCTTCTTTGAGTACTTGGTCTTATCCCTAGAGGTGGTGGCTAGTCCCCTATTCTTTTTTTTTATTTTTTAGTATTTTCTCTTTTTTTAAAAAAAATATTTTATTGATTTTTTTACAGAGAGGAAGAGAGAGGGATAGAGAGTTAGAAACATCGATGAGAGAGAAACATCGATCAGCTGCCTCCTGCACACTCCGTATTGGGGATGTGCCCACAACCAAGGTATATGCCCTTGACCGGAATCGAACCTGGGACCCTTGAATCCGCAGGCTGACGCTCTATCCACTGAGTCAAACCGGTTAGGGCAGTCCCCTATTCTTGAATTCGTTAGGGGTTTTTTTTATTTCTTAGTAGCTAATCTCCTGTTTTTATTGAACAATTCTTTGCATTTGAACTTTCCTGATTTAATTTGCTGTGTAATTTCTATCTCTTTACTGGACCCTGACTGATGCAAAGATCAATCTCTTTTTGTGATAAGTGCCCTATAATTTTTCAAGAACTACCTGACTCATCTCCACTTCTGTATGCATTTGTATTCTAATGCCCTCTAATCAGAAGCTAACCTAGAATTTTGTCTGAATAATACTTGTTTTCCTTTACCTTTATCAGGTTTTGTACCTTTCACACAATGACTGGTGGTTTTCTCTGTCTTTTGGTGGCAGGCAAATTACCTTGGAAGTATTCTTTAGAGAGGCAGGATACTTACAATTTCCATTAAATATGCTTGCAGATCAGAAAGCTTCATGTTTTCTTTGAACAGTGAAAATGAATAGTAAAACATAAATTTTAAAAGCCAATATATTTCAACAAATGACATATGTGTGCCACAGAAAATAAACGATTTCAATAATCATAAATGGATGGTGCTAGAATCACAGTTTTTCCAAATCAGACTTTAGGAGATAAGTAATAAGTAACCCTGTCATCCACTGATTTTGCCTTCATTTAGCACTGTTGCTATTCATTGAAAATGAAAGGCTCCTAAATGATTAATGGCACATGCTAATCAAGTCGCTCTCTCTGCATAGTTCATTGGAAATGTGAGAAATGTCAGAACTAAGTGAACTTTTTGGAGTTGACTGATTTCTCCAAATTTTTGTGATTTTACCCAGCATCTATATGACAACTTATTTTTTTTAATGAAGTAAAAGAAGAAAATTTGCACAAGGTTTTGATTCTAATCTACATTCCTAAGGCAGAAAAAAAAAATATAATGAAAATAAGTTGTTTCCACCCTGGTTAGCATGGCTCAGTTAATTGGGCATCGTCCCATGCACCCCGGGGGTTGCTAGTTTGATCCCCAGGCTCCATCTCTAATCAATGTTTCTCTCTCTCTCTCTCTCTCTCTCTCTCTCTCTCTCTCTCTCTCTCTCCCCCTTTACCTTCCTCAATAAAAAATATTTTTAAAAAGTAATAAGTCATTTCCAGTATTTATCTGATAAAACCTCTTGCCTTACAAAGAAACCTTTTGTAAGTCCTTATAAAAATACATTTACAAAGCAAATTTAAACTTTTTTATTATTGTTGCTCCACTGTCTGACTAGACCAAATGTGAATAAGTTGTATTTTACCCAATGTATTCCTCTTCTAAACTTATTGTACCATTCAAACAACAGAAGGTATTTGCTGACAAATATAAATGCTATTTTTAAACCAAAAAGAGAATGAGATATTGAGGGTGTTACTCCATATTGTGAATATGTATAATTTGGAAGATTAAACATAGTTTTAAATACCCTAGTCGATTTTGCTCAGTGGATAGAGCATTGGCCTGTGGACCAAAGGGTCCCAGGTTTGATTCTGGTAAAGGGCACATACATTGGTTCTAGGCTCCTCCCTGGCTGGGTCCCTAACTAGGGTGTGTGCAGGAGGCAACCAGCTGATGTGTTTCTCTCACATCAATGTTTCTCTCTGTCTTTCCCTCTCTCTTCCACTCTCTCTAAAAGATCAATGGGAAAATATCCTTGGGTAAGAATAACAACAACAAAAATTTCATAGAACACATGCTTGTTGGCTGATAATTATGAATATTTCATTTATTTCTTACACTCATATATTATTTGCATTTATGTAAATATAGAAACATACAAGGTATATGTATTTTTTTGAGGATCATTATAAAGCAGTAAAAAATTAAATAAATCCATGGAATTCATAAATATCAACATTGGTATTGAAAGTAAATTGAAATATCAGGACCATGGTGTTTTTAGAGTCCAATTTGTGATGAACTGTGATTTTTTTTCTTTTTTGTTTGTTTGTTTTACTTTGTGTTTTAATCCAAGACAGAGATGTCTCTCACTAGAAGAGAATTGTGCATGGCAGCACAGAGTTTAGGAAAGTCGGGGTCTTCCAGATTAGAGTGTCAGAGTTGAAATCTCATGCTTGCTCTGCAACTTTGAACCAATTAATTAGCCCTTTGGGTGTGAGTATCCCCATCTATAAAAGAGAGAATAATAGCCAACTCAAAACTATTCCAATATAACCACATTTCTAATCACAAAACATGTGATTATTTAACATGTTCATGTTATTTCTAATTATCTAAGGACATGGGATTGTAATAGGTATCACTTTCTGAACATATTAAATCACAGAACAACTTTTCTTTATGAATCATTTTACCAAACAATTTGCTAAGAAAAAAATAATGTTGCATAATGGTTAAGAAAGGGTTTTGGTGCCTGACAGTTCTGTGTTCCAATATCTCACATAGGGTAAGGAGCTGAACATCTCTAACTATTGTCCCATCTGTAAAATGAAATTAGTTATATATATATATATATATATATATATATATATATATATATATATATGACATAGATTAGTTATCTAAATTAAATAAGATACTGTATATGTTATGTTTGATATATTTCTTGTCACAGAGGAAGCACATTTAATGTGTGTGTGTAGAAATGAGTAGATGGACAACAGATAGTTATGAAAGTAGAAGAATCTCCATTGTAGGCAAAGAAACCTTGTTTAACCCAGAAATCAACAAATCTGCTTGCATGACGTAACTTGAGAAGCACAAAACCAAATTGTAGGTTCCCCTCTCCTATTTTGTTTAGTTTTTATTCAAATCTCACCACTCCCTTGTTGCTCTTATCCCCACCCCAACACATAGGACCTGTGACCCAAACAGCTACCAAAGATACGCTGATTTTCTACTCATAACTGGGAATGAAGGTGCTCACTAGCAATAAAATATTTAAAGATAACTTTTTCAAGAACGGCCCTAACTAAAAAATATGTTTAATTTAAAAGCAAATTCATGAAGATAAAAAGAATCTTAAAGATCCAACAAGAATGAAGCTCTCATGAGGACATGATAGGATGTCATTTTGAAGACTGAGAGATCTTTTTATCTTCCTGATAGATCTACTGGCTAGGATTATAAACACAGGTTTCTGCATATACATAATAGGTAATTCTTTTTTTTAAATATATTTTATTGATTTTTTACAGAGAGGAAGGAAGAGGGATAGAGAGTTAGAAACATCGATGAGAGAGAAACACTGATCAGCTGCCTCCTGCACACCCCCTACTGGGGATGTGCCCACAACCAAAGTATGTGCCCTTGACTGGAATCGAACCTGGGACCTTTCAGTCCACGGGCCGACGTTTTATCTACTGAGCCACACCGGTTAGGGCATAATAGGTAATTCTTATTTACTTTTTTAAGTTAGGCCCTTGGCGTAGTCCAAGGAGCCAAGTCAAAGCAAAATCCCATTCTGTCCCCCACCCAGTTTTTGCTGGCAGACAAATAAGGTTCCTCTGTCATCTTGTTCTTACCCCCTCACCCACCATGCAAATCCCAGGGTTCTCAATAGAGTGAATACACCCAGTTCCCGGAAGGCATCTCTGACAGGTGGGTACCACCCAATCTAAACATTAACTTTCTTTTCTCCTTTGAACAGGTTATTTATTTTAAATGTCACACCCTCATAAATAAAATATCTAGTTTTTCTGAGAAGCAATGTTTACTCCAAAATGACAGAGTATCTTTAAATAGGCTCAAATTATACCAATCTTGTAGACTTTCTGAATTTTAAATTACATGATGTGTTAGAATACAGTGTATAGACATTTCCATGTGTTCGGTTTTCTTTTTTTTTTTCTAGTTTAATATTCCTCTATTACAATTGCATGATAGCATCAAATGTTAAAATGTTACTTACTGGGAACTGCAGATAATCACAAGGAAAACTGTGGGAGTGGGCAAAATTTCTGATGATGAATAATAATGCTTGGTATATATAAAGCACCTTTCTTCTTAAACACTTAAATTGTTTTAATGGGGGTTATTCTACCATCTCTCTCTCTCTCTCCTTGTAGTAAGTAGGGCGCAATGTTCCTATTCATTTGTTGAATTAGACTACAGAAAGGAAACCATTTTAGTGCCCTGAAATTCGAAGGTGAATTGCACAGATAATATTAGAATTCAGGCATCTAAACTGACCCTCACCCTTTTGTTAGGCTGAATGGACCCTATTTCACTCACTGACAGTTAAACTTTAACTCTATTATGGCTTCTAGAGATGGCATGTTAACCCAGCAGGGGGTTATTATTTCAGCGCCATGCATAATTCTATAATAGTAAAACACAATTTTGCTCCCCAATGTAATTTTTATTTTCTCAAGCTTTCAGACTAGGGACACAATAAAACACGGATATAAAAATATCATGTCTTTGTTTTTTGAAAAACCAAATATGACAAGGAAGGGAAGCCTTTTTTGATGGTAAAAATAAATGAGTGGTATTTTCACTTTTAGGGAAAGCCATATGGAATTATTCTCGTGAAGTGGAATCTCAGTACTGTACAGTTGAAAATGAAAGAATATTCAGAGTTTTTAACTCTACTACATTGTGACATGTTTAGTGTAGATATTATCATTGGGATGCTGGTACCTGTGGTCAGCGGTTAGAGGTCCAGAACAAGGATCCTAGTGGAGTTAAACGCATAGAAATGCAAGAATCAATGCTACTCCTTTGATGACATCCACTTTCAACAATAACTTCTCAATTTCCTCCTGTTTTGCCCTCTCATACTCTTGAAAAAATTCCAGGGCTCATGGCCTATCAAATCCAATAAAAAAACAGGTGAGTCAACATGGCACCATGTGCCTCACATGGTCTATGGATGTAAAGGGATCAAGAGACAAAAAGAGTTTCATTCTTCTCTCTCAAGACAAAAAGCTTCTGATGCTTTAAGAACAAAGGCAAGTTGAGGGAATTTTGTTTCTTAAATGAAATGTTGCTAACTTAAAAAGAAACCCATGTAGACTCAATTTGGGTATAACTTAAAACACATCAAACTTTACCTTGCTCTCAAACTGTATTTGCTGGTATCTGTTTTGTCTCTCTCTTTTCTAATGGTTGCCTTACCATTGGTAAATTTTAACCCTTCTGTTACTTCCAATCCTTGATGCTACAGACTTGTCTCCTCACATTTCCTGCATCTAATATTCCCTATCCCTTTTCCTTAACTCTTGCTCATCCTCTATAAAACTTAGCTTGAATGTGATCATCTCAGTGAAATTTTCCTTCCCTGAACATCTAGATAGAATTAAGACTGCTAGGTGCTCAAAGACACTTGCATAAGTCTCTTTGATAATACTTGTATTTGTAATAATTCTTTGTGTCATGGCCTATTCTTCTGCACAGGAATCCTGTTGAGGACCAGCCCACGTATACCCTTCCATTCTGGTCTAGCATAGGACCTGGCATATGGTAAGTGATTAATACTTATTTCATGGATAGATCCATCTTAACCCCCATTCCTCTTCCCATCTGCATCGCCCCTTTCCTCTGCTGTTCCCATGGCCCCCAAGGCTTATCATTAAAAAAAAAACAAAAACCTGGTATCACATGGCCTAATCCATTATACCCCATTGATCCTAAAATTTCTTTCCCTTTCCATTTCCTTCTTAATGCCCTGAATGGAATATAAGGGAGAGGAAGATGGAGAAGCAAAAAGGGCTTTGTACACCCTTATTGGAGGAGTAGACAGTGTACCTCACAAAAACCCTAAGAGATAAGGAGGGTAACATTTACCATCCCAACTCAGAGAATGCTGAGAAATGAGGACACTGAGGTGGGAAGTGCCTGCATGACCTCCTGTGACCCATTCCTTCCTTCCCCACGCTTCCATTCCCCTACTGGCCATCCTCTCTGATTCAAAGGGTAGGGGACCATTTCTTCCTCAACTCTCTCTCAGTGACACACTCTATGTCCCCTTCTTGTGTACCTCTTTGCTGTTCTGTGAGCTGGCATCAGTGAAAACCAAGTCCAGTGACAACTCAGCCAGAATAAGCGAATAACTTGCTAAGTAATTACAGAGCTGCTTCTCTAAAGAAATCCGAGACTGCCTTGACATCCATTTATCCGGCCTGGTTAGCGCTAATAAAACTGAGCCTCCCACAGTACAGGTAGATGGGCTGGCTGACCCTGCATCTCAAATGATTCATGGCAATTCGTGGTTCCTCATGGTAATTAAAAGTCCCGCAGGAGGAAAAAGCTAAAAAATCTCCCTCTAGTGATGGGGGCTGTCAGGAAACAGGCTTGTTTACTTGCATTTCTCAGTGGCCCGCTAACCAAGTATCTGGAGCAGCTCATTTCGGAAGATAGTGTGTTGTTTCAAAATGGCAAAGTGGGTCAGAGAGAGGGAAGCTAGGAAAAAAACTAGGGATGCCTTGAACTCCATATCTGCCCTTGACTCTGCATGTGGAAGCATCTACATCATTTCCATACACAGAGCTTAAGGTAAGACATTTAAACTTCAAGGTGCCTCTCTTCTCCTTGCTGGGCTGGGTGAGGAAGTTACAAAGTCTGTAAGTAAGGGTTTCTGATTTTCAGATGATGGAATAGACATTTTTTTCCCTATTCCTCCCATTAAAAATCTTGGAATATATAGATATGTGTGTGTGTGTGTGTGTGTGTTTGTGTATATATATATATATATATATATATATATATATATATATAAAATTGATAAGGTTGTAAAAGCAATGCAATTAAAGAATGATAGAAGAATGGAGGCCTTTGTTTAAAAAACAAAACGAACACACCCAGAGGACACAAGAAAATAAAAAATATAGCTAATCTAAGTCTCACACTTTATATAAAAAATTAACCAAAATGAATCATGTACATAATCGTAAAACAGAAAACTACCTGTAGAATAATGGAGGGTGTAATAAATGTTTTAATTGTATTTTTAGTCTGAGATTATGTAGAGGTTTGCTTATCCAAAAGTAATAACTATATAAAGAATATTTAACTTAGATAAAAAACATACAACAAATACAAGACAGGATAATCAGGTTACGTTACACCATGTTTTACAACGTTGATTTAAAATTTATCATTTACTTAGAATTTTGAATTTAGTGATTGGACAATTTAGAATTCTCTTTTGGATTCACCATAGAATAGCTTAACTGATAGTGTGGTCTCTGCTCAGGCACAGAAACAGAGTAGACAGTATTTTTAACTAAATATCAGCGATGAGCAAATTAACAATAAAACAAAACTACATTTTTCTAAGTTTAGGCAGGATGCCCTAGTTAGAACTTGTGATCACATGACTATATTATCTCTGAGTTGTGAACATTTGTTTCATTATTGTTAGAAATCATGTGCTTTTAAAAAGGGAGTGATGGAGATACATCCTTAAAAATACCTTCTGCATTTTCCCATGGTATTCTATCCCCTCTTCTTCCCTTACCAGAAACAGATTCCTTTTCTTCACTTTAAAATCATGCGGACTTTTGAAAAGGGGACATTGGAGAAAAGATAAAATATATGAAAACTTATCCTTCTTACTTTATACCTTAGAAATGAGATGTCCAGTAGAAATATAATTTAAGCCACAAACATACACCACATATGCAATTTTAAATGTTCTAATAGCCATATTAAAAAATTAAAATAAATGGATTAAATTAGTATTAATCTTATATTTTATTTAATCTAATATAGTCAAACTATTATTACTTCAACATGTACTCAACATTAGTGAGATATTTTATATTCTTTTCTTGTACTAGGTCTTTGAAAGCTGATGTGTATTTTATACTTGCAATTCATTCTTTTCAGACTAACCACATTTCAAATGCTCACTAGCCACTGCCTTGTGGCTCTCATATTTGGCAATGCAGCTTAGAAAGTAAATAGCAAATGTTATCTTTATTCAGAAAGATTTCATATACTAATTACAGCCATAATATATTTCTGGTGTGCCTACAGTCTTCATATATTTATGCTGCTATGTTAATCTGTAGATGAGAATGGACATTTAATAGTAGCATATAATTACATATTCAAGGTTGGTTTATTTCTTCATCAGGTCTTCATTTCTTTTGTGAACTAAAATTGCCTGTAATTGTGTGGAAAATCATGAACAAACTGTAACTGTTTGCAATAGTTCTATAGTATAGTAGTTCCCCTTATCCAAGGGGGGGTGGGTTCTAAGACCCCTAATGGATGTATGACAGGATATTACCAAGCCCTATATATACTATGTTTTTTTTTTCTATACCAGATACATATATACTGATGATAAAGTTTAATTTATAAATTAAGTAATTTCACAGATAGGTTTGTTCTTACTGTAGTAACCTCAGCATACAATTTTTTTCTTTCCTTTTTAAGTTGAGAACTTTTACCTTTTCACTTAAAGAAAGCACTTTAAGGCACCTCTTTGGCATATGTGAATTGCCAGCATCATTACTATTGCCCTTTGGGGCCATTATTAAATAAAATAAGGGTGACTTGAATACAAGCACTGTGATGAGGCCACAGTGATCTGATAATTGAGATGGCTACTAAGTCACTAACAGGCATATAAAGTGTGGAGACACTGGACAATGGGATGATTCATGTCCCAGTTGGAATGTATAGGGATAGGATGAGATTATTTCTGGAATTTTCCATTAAATATTTTTATATTCTGGTTAACCTCAGGTACAGAAATCATGGAAAGTAAAACCACAGCCTGGCTAACATGGCTCAGTGGTTGAGCATCAACTTGCTCGGGAGATCATGGTTCGATTCCCAGTCAGAACATATGCCTGGGTTGCGGGCTCCATCCCCAGTGGGAGGCATGCAGGAGGCAGCCAGTCAATGATTCTCTTTCATTATTGATGTTTCCATTTCTCTTTCCCTCTCCCTCTCCCTCTGAAATCAATAAAAAAATATATTTTTAAAAAGAAAGTTAAAGCACTGATGAGGGAGTAATATAATAGATAATATTCATCAAAAAGGAAATTAGAAGCTCTTGAATTTTTATTTATTCATTTATTTTAGTTCTCCTTGAAGATGTGAAAGTAGGCAACATCTGTAACTGAAATAAGAAATCATGAATTATCATACAAATGAGAAATAGACTGTTGAACTATTTTTCAGTAGGAACTCCAGATCAATGGAATCATGTGTTGGAGGTCCCCAAAGTTCCAGAAAATGCAGTCATTTTGCCGATGCAATTGACAAATAGAACGAAGGACTAAATAGAACACCATATTGAACTTGCTCTTCTTTCTTTGGGCATTTTTTTTTCTTTTTAAACAACTTTATCTTTATTTCAGCCACCTCTTGATATACTGCATCGATTGACACAGAACCCAACCACTCTCTCCCACCTCCAGGCCTATCTTCCTCTTCTAAGCCACTGTCATTTCTTGTCTGGATAACTATTATAGCCCCTGGAGCCCTCTTCCTCCTTCTACTTGTGCGCCTCTGCAGTCCATTCCAAACATAGCAAACAGAGGAAATATGCCAAATTATAAAATTTCTCTCTCCAAAAAAAAAAAAAAAAGCAATGCTTTTAATTTCCCTTAGAGTAAACAACAGTGTTCCACCAAGTCATACAGATCCTGGCTCCCGATATCTGTCAGAATTCAGCTTCTACTGTTCTTGATTTCCACTCCATCCCAGACACCCTGGCTTCCTTGATGCTCTTTGAACAAACTGGCAAACTCCATTTGTGGGTTCTTCACACTGGTTGTTCATTTTTCCTAGAATGATTTTCCCAAATATCTACCTGGTCTCTTTCTCATAGCCCTCAACTCTTTGCTTATTTGCCCCTTTTCAATGAAGTCTACCCTAATCACCACATTTTAATTTGCAATCTACCTCTACCCTCAGCACTCCTAATACCACTTTCTCCTCTTTCCCTCAATACTTATCATCTTCTAAGATACTACCTACTTTATAATGTACTTATTTCATTTTCTAATGTCAAACATTAGAATGTAAACTCCACTTGGGTAAGGATCTTTGTTTTCTTTTAGTATTGCCTCCTAGTTACTAAATGAGTTTTGATATGTATGCTTCTATGTGGTAGATATATTAAATTTTAACCTTTATTTCTCATATTTCCTTTACCCTGCTTTATACTTGGCATTCATCATTTATAACTTTCTTTAACAGCCTGTATATTTGTTAGCCATTTTGTTTAATATTCCTCATTCTCAGCTGAATATATATTATCTGAGAGCAGGGAATTTGTCTGTTTTGTTCATTGTTGCATCCCCATACCTAACATCATGCATAAGTGCCATGGTACATATTTAATATACACTCATTGCATATATGAATGAATTAGAGGCCATCATTTTCACAGTTCATTGAGCTATATCTGGTGCATTTGGACTGTGGATTAATATCATGAGAATTTTTACTTCTGTGAGAAATCCTGAGTATTTGCAGCTCATCATGGTATATT